CCCAACCCCTGCCCACACCTACCACAGTCAGCCGCCCAGCTTTCCATAGGAGCTCTGGAGTAGGGGAGTGGAGGATTGGGGTTCCCTGAGTGAGCTCTGGGCTAGAGGTAGGCGCACCTGTTTCTAGTTTGAGTACTGCATTTGCCATTCACTACCAACCTGGCCTGGGCTAGCCTGAGACTTGGTTTCCCCATCTGTAAAATGAGATGATCCCCATCTGTACAATGCAACTCCGTGGGGCTGTGGGGGACTGAATGAGATCCGGGATGTGAACGTGCTTTATAAATTCAAGTGCTGAGAGGCTACCTTGGCTGTTTGTTGTGTCAGGGCAAAGCCGACTTCATGGGCCGGACCTTTGCCAAGCCCCTGGTGAAGATGGCCGACGAGGCATACTGCCCACCCCGCTTCCCGCCCCAGCTCGAGTACTACCAGATCTACCGTGGCAACGCCACAGCGGGGGACCTGCTGGCCGCCTTCGAGCTGCTGCAGGTGGGGCTGCAGGGAAGATGGGACTGGGCAGGCGGCCAGTCTCTTCCCCATCCTGCTGTGAGGCCAGTCGGGACGGAAGCTGAGGATGTGGTTCTTGGGGACCTGGGCTGTTCAGCTTTCCCTGTCTCCTCAGATCACATGGCAAATAACTCATGAGGAGAGGGAGGTCTCCTCAGGCTCCCCAGGGTATGACACTATGTCCCGTATTTCCCAGATTGGACCATCAGGGAAGGCCGACCTGCCACCTATCAATGGTCCAGTGGACATGGACCGAGGTCCCATCATGCCTGTGCCCATGGGCATCCGGCCCGTGCTCAGCAAGTACCGGATTGAGGTGTGTGAGGACCACGCTGAGCCCCTTCCGTCCCTGCCCACAACAGGCCCTGCTGTGCTCTGCTTCCCGGCCCCCCTCACTCTCTCCCTATCAAGGGTCTGTGCACATATTACATGGTTGGCATCAGACTCCAGCAGTCTCTGGCAACCTCAGGCCATGCCTCGTTTTTCAGATAAGGGTGATGAAGGGCAAGGAGGGAAAGTGACTGGCCCCAGGTCACACCCAGGAGCCGGCAGCAGACCCTGGCTCCTGCCCACCCAGTGCCTGCCCCTTCTGCTCTGTCACACTGCTACCATCCAGGACCTATCCCAGCAATCCCGTCTGCCCCCGACACCCACCCTCACCCTGAAGCCCCTTCAGAACACCCGCCCCTTATCAGCTCTCCCTGCCCAGCCCCCACCCATGCACTGCCGAACCAGGAGCCAAATCCTTCTCAGGTGGCCTGGCACCCACAGCTGGTGCCCTTGACTGAGGGGCCCTCCTCTTCCCCTGCCTCCCCCCAACTCATGCAGGTGCTGTTCTGGGGCCTGCGAGACCTGAAGCGGGTGAACCTTGCCCAGGTGGACCGGCCACGGGTGGACATCGAGTGTGCGGGGAAGGGGGTGCAGTCGTCCCTGATCCACAATTACAAGAAGAACCCCAACTTCAACACCCTCGTCAAGTGGTTTGAAGTGGTAGGTCTGGGCCCCGGGGGTCGCTGGGGGTGGCCGGGCAGCTGGGCAGGGCCAGGTGCCTCTGCCCCTTCTCTGGGCTCAGGCCGCGCTGGCCCCCACCCCCAGGACCTCCCGGAGAACGAGCTCCTGCACCCGCCCTTGAACATCCGCGTGGTGGACTGCCGGGCCTTCGGCCGCTACACCCTGGTGGGCTCCCACGCCGTCAGCTCCCTGCGGCGCTTCATCTACCGGCCCCCAGACCGCTCGGCCCCCAGCTGGAACACCACGGGTACGGCCGTGCCCCAAGGCCCGCAGATGGGGCTGCAAGTGGTTTCTTCCTTGGGGCCATCCCCTTGTCGGGGTCAGGGAGGCCAGGAGGGAGGTCCCACCCCGGGGGCCAAGGAAGGCTGCCCCAGGCTGCCCCTCACCCTCGAGCCAGAAAGGGCCAGAGCTGGGCGTCCTTAGAGGGCCCGAGGGCAGATGGCTTCCTCTGCCAGGTCTTGGAGAATACCCAGGCCCCCTCCCAGCCTCCACTGGGTCACTCACCGCAGCCCACCTTCCTCTCTGGCCACCTCGTCCTCTGCCTATGCCCAGCTTTTCTCCCTCAGCTGTCACCTCCCTCCCCCTCCCCTCAGAAAGCTCCAGAATCAGCTTTAACCTCCAGTCCTTTCACCCACTCCTGACTCTCACC